ATGTATTCAATGAATTCACGACATACGATTATACGAGCATACCATGCATATTTAAATAGTAGGGGGCCAAATGTCAGATATGGGGATTATTTGAGTTTGAGTTTGAGTTTCAGGTGGTATCTCTATTACCCTTTTACAGTAAATATTTATGATTCTACTTTTCTCTTTACATACCAGTACATTTTTATTCGTATCGACGTCCCTTTTCTTGGGGACGCTGCATTTTGTTTCATGCCAGTAGGTATAGGCAGGGACTCTAATCGACCCACTCACTAGGATTCTGGTTTAGCTATGAGTTGTTAAGCTCCATTTTGTCCTGGGGCTATCAAAAGATGTTTACTTTTGTTGTACAGTTTGGGTATGGTCGGGGCCTTGTCCCAACATTTCTTATGTCACTCATAGAGGCTATTGTGGACACAATATTTTGGGTTTTCTTTTTGTATGTTTCAACCTCCAGCCAATAGTCTTGGCATGTATATATTTGTGTGTGTGTAAGTAGGTATGTCTTTGGTGGTGGCCTCGTCAGCTAGATAATACATCTTTATTTTTTTTGGCTTGTCTACCACTGTTTGTATGGTTTATTCTCATTCAGGTCATGACCTTCAGGGTCTAGGCTTCAATTTTTAGAGGTTGTGCTGCCCAATCTTTTTGTCTCATAGTTTGGCTTAGCTAGTATGTTTTAGTGGGTAACTCGATCTTATAGGGTATCGAGTGCCAGTTACTCCCCCCTATTTTGGGGTGTGACAAACTTGATATCAGAGCAGGTCGTATCCCAGGGAGGGTCCGCAAGCCGTGTCTAGTAGAGTCTTGTTTATGAGTGTGTTGTGCACCACACCTATAATCAAGAGGCTACATGGAATTTAGGAATGGTTACGTTTCATTAAACTGATAGATCGTGCTGTATTGTAAAAGTATAAGACTATTTGAAATTTAAATCGTGCTTTATGTTTCTTATTTAATATACTACCTTTGCTCCGGATATGGCAGATTAAGAGATATGTATGTATTCAAGAGAACGTACTAGCCGTTCCCCCACCTGGTCAAAGGGATAGATATCCCTCGGAGGCACAGGGTGAATCTCTAGTACGCCTAGTACTAGCCTCCCCGACACCTGTTAAAGCCCGAGGAGATGTAGTACCCCCAGCCTCACTAGTTCTATTGGTACCTAAGGAAGCTAGGGATACAAGACCTCCAGTACCTATTGTTCCTCCACCAGAGATTGGGGAGCAGGGGATGAGAGAGACAACTCAGTTGCTGGCTAGGATGGTTTCTATTCATGAGCGACAACTGGAGTCAGGAGTAGATACTCAGAGAGACCGGTTAGAAAGTTTGAAGGTACGAGAGTTTCTTCATTTGACCCCTCCGTTATTTAAAGGATCTAGTCCTACTGAGGATCCCCAGGACTTTATAGACCATATATATAGAGTATTGAGGGTGATGCATGCCTTCGTCACAAAAGCTGTGGAGTTGGCTTCTTTTCGGCTACGTGATCTAGCCATCCTTTGGTATGAGGCATGGGAGAGATCTAGAGGACCTAATGCTCCGCTAGCAGAGTGGGAGGACTTCTCTGAGGCCTTCCTTGCCCACTATTTTCCATAGGAAGTTCGAGAGGCCTGTCTTGACGAGTTTATCAATCTGAAGCAAGGAACCATGAGTGTGAGGGATTATAACCACATGTTTAATTTTTTGGCAAGATATGCACCAGATATTGTACGTACCATGAGAGCCAGAGTTCATCATTATGTTGATGGTTTGGGAGATCATTTGATCAAAGATTGTAGGGTAGCATCCTTATCAGATGATGTAGATATTTCCCGCATACAGGCTTTCGCTCAAACTACAAAGGAACTTTGTCAACGGATTCATGATACCCGTAGGGATAGGAAGCAGAGTAAGAGGGCCCGTACTATGGGGTCTTATAGGGAGCCACATGGTGATTTTAGTCCCCCATTTCATCGATATCCACTTCAGCCAGCGGGTAGTGTCTCACCACAGGTGCAGGGACCGTGGTTTGATCGTTATAGTTAGTCAGGACGAGGTCAGATCTCAGGCTAGCCTGAAAGTCATCGACAGGATCGCTCCGTACAGATAAGACATCACACTCCTCATTGTACACAGTGCGGTAAGCCGCACACTGGGCAGTCTACACAGGGTTCAGGTGCATGTTATTATTGTGGGCAGACTGGAAATTTTATTAGTTGTTGCCCGAGGTTGAGCAGAGGTGAGCTCAGCCTTCAGGATCCACAAAAACATCTTCACCCTCAGTCCGTGCCCAACGTCCGGGACCATATTCTACTCAGGGTCATGACAGAGGGAGAGGTCAAGGAGATACAGGTTTGAGCGGTGGCCAGAACCGCTTTTATGCACTCATAAGATGACAGGATTCAGGGGTATCCCCTGATGTTGTTACAGGTATATTGACGATATCTTCTCAAGATGTTTACGCATTGATAGACCCTGGCTCTACATTTTCATATACTACTCCATTTATTGCTAGTAAGATTGAGATGAAATCTGAGTTGTTGCCACAACCAGTTGAGGTGTCTACACTGGTTGGTGACTCTATTTTAGCTAGTCTTGTGTATCGAGGTTACACGATGATAATTAATAATCATCCAATCCCTGCTGATTTAGTTGAGTTGATTATGCTAGATTTTGATGTTATCATGGATATGGATTGGTTGGCAGCTTGCTATGCTAATATTGATTGTCGTGCAAAGATAGTCAGGTTTTACTTTCCAGGTGAGCCAGTCCTTGAGTGGAAGGGTAATGTAGCCACACCTAAGGGTAAGTTTATTTCATACCTTAGGGCTCGAAAGTTGATTGCTAAAGGTTGTATGTACCATACGGTTCATGTACAGGGTACTAATAGGGAGCCCATGACTCTTCAATCAATTCCTATCATGAATGAATTTCCAATGGTATTCCTTGATGATCTTCCTGGAATCCCCTTAGAAAGGGTAATTGATTTCGCTATAGACTTGTTTCCTGATATGCAACATCTATCGATTCCTCCCTATAGAATGACAACTACAGAGCTAAGAGAATTAAAGGAACAACTAAAGGACTTGCTCGATAAAGGTTTTATCAGGCCAAGTACTTCCCCATGGGGTGCCCCAATGCTCTTTGTTCGAAAGAAAGATGGATCCTTATAGAAGTGTATTGACAATAGACAACTTAACAAAGTCACTATAAAAAATAAATATCCTCTTCCACAGATTGATGACTTATTCGATCAGTTACAAGGTGCCAAATGCTTTTCCAAGATTGACTTGCGGTCTGGTTACCATCAGCTGCGAGTCAGGGAAGTTGATATCCCAAAAACAACATTTAGGAGGAGTTATGGCCATTTTGAATTCCTTGTCATGTCTTTCGGGCTTACAAATTCCCCAATAGCCTTTATGGATCTTATGAATCGGGTCTTCAAACAATTCTTAGATGAATTTGTGACTGTGTTTATTGATGACATTCTTATATATTCACGATCAGAAATGGAGCATGCAAACCACTTGCGAGCTGTATTGCAGACTCTCCAAAATTGCAGGTTGTATGCTAAATTCTCTAAATGTGACTTTTGGCTTACTTATGTCGCTTTTCTTGGTCATGTTATTACAAGTTAGGGTATTAAAGTTGATGGAAAAAAGATTGAAACAGTGATGACTTAGCCGAGGCCCTTGAATCCAACAGAGGTTCGCAACTTTTTAGGCTTGGAAGGGTATTACCGAAGGTGACAAAATTGACACATAAGGCAACTAAGTTTCAATGGACCGAGGCATGCGAACATAGCTTTCAGCAACTAAAAAAAAGGCTTACCACTGCACCTATCCTAACTCTTCCAGATGGTAATGAGGGCTATGTTGTTTATTGTGATGCCTCAAGAATTGGCCTAGGTTGTGTTCTTATGCAATATGGTAAGGTTATTGCATATGTCTCTAGACTGTTGTGAAAGCATGACCAGAATTATTCTACACACGATCTTGAGTTGGCTGTAGCTGTCTTTGCCCTAAAAATTTGGCGGCATTATCTATACGGGGTTCATATAGATATTTTCACCGATCACTAGAGTCTTCGGTACTTACTTAAGCAGAGGGAGTTGAACCTACGACAAAGGAGATGGCTAGAATTATTAAAGGACTACGATGTTGACATTTTATATCATCCCGGCAAAGCTAATGTTGTTGCTGATGCGCTTAGCCGGAAGTCCATGGGTATTCTAAGTCATGTTGAAGCTGATAAGGCTGGAATTACAAAAGACCTATGCAACCTAGTTAATTTGAAAGTACGCTTGGTAGATGCAGGGGGCGGAGGTGTTGTCATTAAAAATATGGCAGAATCTTCCTTTGTGACTAAAGTGAAAAGGTGACAACATGAAGATCCCGAGCTTAGGAAATTGAGGGAAAAGATCCACTCAACAACAACCCTTATTTGAGCTAACTGGAGATGGAGTCCTTAAATACCAGGGTCGCTTATGTGTACCGGTAGTTGGAGAGCTCTGTACAAATATTCTTTCATAGGCCCATTATTCTAGATATGCATCTCACCCTGGAGCGACGAAGATGTATCAGGACCTTCGACAGATCTATTGGTGGAATGGCATGAAAAAAGATAGTGCAAAGATGGTAGTTTAATGTCCCAACTGCCAACAAGTTAAAGTAGAGCATTAGAGGCCTGGAGGCCTAACCCAGTATATTGAGCTTCTGTTATGGAAATGGGATATGATAAATATGGCCTTCATCACTGGTTTGCCTCACACTCCACGAAGGTATGATTCTATTTGGGTAATTATCGGTAGGCTGACAAAATCTGCGCATATCTTGCCGGTTAGGATGACATATTCAGCTGAAGATTATGCCAAGTTTTACATTCAAGAGATTGTTCGTCTTCATGGAGTTCCATTATCTATTATCTTAGATTGAGGAGCTCAATTTACAACACATTTTTGGAGATTGTTTTAGAAGGGTCTAGGCACTCAGGTAAATCTTAGCACCACTTTTCATCCACAAACTAATGGACATGTAGAGCATACTATTCAGACAGTTGAGGATATGTCACGTGCTTGTGTGATGGATTTTAAAGGAAGTTGGGATGAACATCAACCTCTTATCGAGTTCACTTATAATAACAACTTTCAAGCTAGTATTTAGATGGCCCCTTACGAAGAACTATACGGGGGGAAGTATAGGTCCCCAATCGGTTGGTTTAAGCTCGGGGAAGCAGATTTGCTAGGTCCCAATCTAGTCCATCAAGAGATTGAAAAGGTTAAGCTTATTAGAGATCGGCATCATACAAAACAATGTCGACAAAAGTCTTATGCCGATGTTCACCGACGAAACTTAGAGTTTGATGTAGAAGATTGGGTTTTCCTGGAAGTATCGCCTATAAAGGGCATCATGCGATTCCGAAAGAAAGGGAAGCTCAGTCTGATAATGGGCGTATTTATGCGCCTAATGACCAATTTATCCCCATATATATAGCTAAGTTGAGAGCAATTTTAGTAGTCGGAATTATATTTTGGGGGTCTTTTGATGTAGCTTCGTCTAACAAATATGATTAGATGTTTCAGGGTGAAAACAAGAAGAACGAGCCAAAATAAGGCACCTGATCAGAGGTCGGAAAATAGAAGCTGGAGAATACGCCACGCGAGAGAATATCCGCGTCGCGGAGCCACTACGCGTAGGCAGAGATGGAATTCCACTTAACAGAGGAGTGCGCGATGGGGGCGCGTCGCGGACCTGGTTCATCTGCGTGCAACTATAGGCGAGGGAACAGGTCCGCGTCGCGGACCTGGACACCAGAAATTGGCCACGTGTTTTATTTTGACTATAAATAGTTAAAGTGTATTATTTCATAGGACAGTTCGAAATTAGACGGGAGAGTAGCTACTTGGGCGACTTGAAAAAACCCTTTCTAGGGCTTTTCTTCTACTCTTCCATTTTGGTAAACTCTTTCATAATCCATAAATATTGCTTGATGATTATTTGTTCTATGAGTAGCTAAGTCCCTTTTTCTAGGGTTGTAGCTACAACTTATGGTATATTAGTATTTGTTTCTAGCATGAGATGGGCTTTCTTGTGATTTATGCTTACATTCTTGTTTAACTATCTTAATGCATGATCAACATTAAGATACACTTGTTGTCTACTCTTGAACTCGGGAGATGAATGGAGGGATAGAGCTAAAGAATGTGAGAAGTGTGTTCACTCTAGAGTGAAATTAGAGTGTTTTGCATATAGGATAGTCTTATACCTATATACCGCACTTGATTAATATGCAAGAAGATAGCTTAATGCTCCGTCATTGGTTCATGTCTATCCCTGCTCAACGATGTAGTTAGACTGTCAATGGTGGTAGGCGATTAGAGGTTGGGAGACCATGATCGTAAAAGGAACCTTGCAAATCCATAATGATTTTAGTTTGTCGAATGCTAGGATACAAGTAATTTTATGCCAGTAATAGAGTTATGCTACAACCCTAGATTCCTTTTCCATATTGTGAAATTCGCCTATTTAACACTGTCTGATTGTAGTACTTACTGTGTGAGATTGTTCAACTTAGTGATTATAAACCAGTTTCTAAAATTGTTTAACACATAAGTAAAGTTATTTTAAACCTAACAACGTTGTTGTCTGTGATTGGAAGTCCCTTGGATTCGATAATTCGGCTCGAAAGAATCGCTGTACTACTAAAGTGACCACGTGCACTTGCGTGCGATTTTGGGAGCAACAAGTTTTTGGCGCCGCTGCCGGGGACTTTAAAATCAGCAGATATCTAATTTTTGAGTGTCTAAATTATTTGTACAAATGTCGACAACTTGAGCTTGGCTCTTCATTTTGCAGGTTGTGTCAGGTTTTCACACTGGAAGACGACCAGGACTTGGTAGAGCCTTTAGCTGAACCGGAGAGATTTGTTCATTACCGAAGAAGGCAAATAAGACTCACTTATCAAGTTCCTCTTGTCGCTTGTGAACCAGAATCTTCAGAAGAAAGGGAGGATCAAGACCCACATGCAGTGATGGCAGAAATGAAAGTGAGAGATGTGGCAATCCCACAGACCACCAATGTT